GATATGATGATCGAGGGTCAATTTTATAAAAAATCAGATTTTAATTATACGATAATAAAAACATCATCAAATTCACGTTTGGATTTATCTCAAGTTGTCGAACCTTTGATGATGACACGAGATTCATTCACATCACAATCAAATCTCAATCAATATAATCCCGTTATTGAATATTCAAAAGATTTTTCTAAATCTACAACAGCACTCGAAGATTTATATGCAAAGGTAATCAAAACTGTTTTAATACAAATTTTTTGCAAATCCCTCCTACCATTATCATAATCATTTCAGGTTAATTATAGTAAAAAAATCAAAAACAGAATGAGAAAAGATGATGCTGCAATTATTGCAATGAGTAAATCTCACAGCGGAAATAATAATACATTGGATGAACAATCATATCCTGCCATTGTTGTTTACGATGAAAGAACAGCTCTGTGATTTATTTATTCAATAATAATTATTTAATTTAATATTTTTTTTAATAAATAAACTAATAATAATAAAATTGTTCAAAATATTAAATTATTATCATTATTATTATCAATTTTCAACTAATGTTTTATGAATGATATTTAAAATTTATAAAAACCCTTAAAATGCAGGAGACGCACAAAAAAAAAACGTTAAAAGTTTTTCATGTTTAATTAATGATGTAAATAAAATTGAAAATTACTTACCGATTAATGGAGTAGACATGTAAAAATTATATTCTCTTTAAAATATTTTATTAACACTAATTAAATTAACACATTTTATAATAATTACACTCCGAAAAAATCAACAAATTTTTAACATTTTTAATTTCAAATGTGTTTCCATGTTGACAACCGAACGGACTTCATTTTTACTAAAAATCGCAAGTCATAGAGTAAAAAAACAAATTTTTTCTTGTCGTCTGTGAAATATCTACCACCACGCTACTTACCATTGCCTTATAAAAAAACACTTGAATTTATTTGCTGTTTAAAACGAGAAAAAAAAAATTTTTTTTAAAGGAAATAAGAAATTATTAAGGTTATGACGATTCCCGAATCTAAACATAACGTAGTCGAAGATGAAGATCAATTAGAAAAATTAATGAAACGAACTGGATGTTTAGAATTACATTATAAAATTCAGGTAAAAAAAAAAAAATTATCGCAGATTTAATCGCAGGCCATAACAAAAAAAAAAAAAAAAAAAAATTTAATCGACGTTTTCCATTATGGTAGGAATGCATTGCCGAAAAACAAGATTGGAGAAAATGTCAAACTGAAGTACACGATTTTAAAAAATGCATGGATGAATATAAATCAAGAGGTGGACCTAAAAATTAATTAATTTTAAAAATTTGGTGTGTACGATGGTTATTAGTAGTGCTCAAGAACTAATCGTGACTACAATTGCATCATTTTTATTGGGTTGGACTTTTAAAAAATATAATCTTAATTTATACAACTTTAGTTTAAAAGGGTCCACGTTGCCAAATACAAAAATGGTTATTGTCGTTAGACCAGATTTGTCATTGTCAAAAGGTGAGATTTGATTTTTAATATAAAAATTTTAAATATGGCAACAATCGATAAAGTCAGAGTTTTGGTATTGGGTGACTCCGGGAGTGGGTAAAACCTCTCTCACTCATCTGATAAGTCAAAATGAAACAATTATAAATCCTTCTTGGACTGTCGGATGTTCTGTCGAAGTTAAATTACACGAGTTTAAAGAAGGTTTACCACAGCAGAAAACATATTTCATCGAACTCTGGGATATAGGTGGAAGTTCGAGTCATAGAAATACAAGATCGATATTTTACTACCCCGTTCATGGAATTATACTAGTGCATGATTTAACGAATAGAAAATCAGAGCAAAACTTACAAAAATGGCTGGCAGAAGTGTTGAATTGCGAAGCTGATGGTAAAAATACAAAACCTTTCGATGATTTCGATTCTGAACAATTTTTCGGGTCGACACAAATACCAATACTCGTTGTCGGTACCAAACAAGATTTGGTACACGGTGCAAGATCGCAAAAATTGATGACATTCGCTGAAGAATGCGGTGCAGATGAAATAATAATGGATTGTAGACGAGCTAATTCTTTGGCTGCCGGCTCATCCTCTGCCGTTAAATTAACAAGATTTTTCGACAAAGTCCTAGAAAAGAAATTTTACTCCAAATCATCATCATCATCATCATCATCATCGTTGAATTCTTTTGGCGACAAAAGAAGACCCTACAATGCTGCCTACAATACATTTCAAAAATCTTATCACAATGATTAAAATTATTATTTTATGATGATAATAATAATAATAATAATAATAAATTAATTTATATATACATGTATAAAGTTATATGCTTGTGTGTTATTTAATTAATTAATCTTAAGATTTATTTATTTATTTATTTATTATTTATTTATTTCCTAACGAATGATTAAATTAATTCAGGTAAACTTGCTGCTCAATGTTCTCATGCAGCAGTTTCGTGTTATAGACAAGGCATGATTCATTGCCCGAATATCACAAATAAATGGTTACTCATGGGCTCACCGAAAATAATATTAAAATCAAACATACCTGGGGAAGAAGGTATTAGATTAATTGAAAAACAAGCGAAAAACGAAGGACTAATCTCTACAGTCATCAGGTACAATTGACATGGCAAAACTAGAAAAAAAAATCAATATCAAATTGTTTTTACCTTATATATAAATATTTTTTATATGCTTAGGGATGCGGGACGTACCGAAGTTACCAAAGGCACCGTAACCGTTATAGGTATCGGTCCAGGTTTTGTTGATAAAATTTCTAAAGTTACATCTCATCTAAAAACACTGTAAAACAATAAACATTAGTTATATATATATGACATATTTTACAGGGAACGCATAGAAAATGCATAGAATTAATAATAATAATAAAAATACCTTTAAATAAATTAAGATAATCCTAATTCGCAAGTGTAAATCCTCTTAATCCCATCTTCTGCTGTAAAAAAAAAAAAAAAAAAGATTAAGCAGCTGCAAGATTAACATTAATTAATAGATTTACAATATAGTACATATTTACATACAAAATGCTGTCTTTTATTATTTTTCTAAAAAAAAAAAAAAAAAAAACCTTAATTAAAATTTTTATTAACTATCCATCACAAAATTACATTTTAAACAAATAAATAAAAAATAATAATAATAATAATAATAATAATAATAATAATTGATTTAAAGAAATATATTTTTTTTTGTTTTTATCAACGATTCTTTTTTCGTTCTCCGATTATTTTTTTAAATTAATTTAATTTAAATTAATTTTTCGTAATATCACATCGTTATTAAAAAAAAAAAAAAGACTACCGTTTATTATTATTATTATTTGTTTTTCTCTCTCTCTCTCTCTCTCTTATTCATTCTTCCAAAAATTATATCTAAGATATGATTAAATCTAAAAATATGGTACACAATTAATTAATTAATTAATTAGTCCTCTACGTATTTTTTTAAATAAATAAATTATTTTTTTATATACGTAAAAGATGATGATATCAAATAAATATAAAATTTCATTTAGAAAAAAAATTCAACAAATAATAATAATAATAGAGATATATATATAGAATACAAATATATATTATTACAGTCGATATAAATTTTTTAAAGTTTTCCCATTTGATAACATTTTAAAAAAAAAAAATTTTCCAAATTAATAATACTGATCCCAAAAAAAAATAAATAAAAAAAATTAACAAACAAAATAAATTCAACTTATTGTAAACCATTTACAAAAAAAAAAAATAATAATAATAAAAATGATTTAAATTCACATTTTTTCATTTTAAATTTATTTATCAAATTATTATTTATGTTTTTATATAGGGTAAATCATTTAGTGTGTTTTTTTTCCCGGGTTCCCTTTGAGCCTTATTGTAAATCTCGTGGGGAGCTTCGTTAAATTTCATCTACATGATCGTCACCGAAAGTGTTCACTTCATCCGCCAATTATATTATATATAAATTTATATATATATATATATATTTTTTTTTTCTTAATTTTGGCATAGAGCTATTATTTAATTTAATTTAATTAATTATCATTTTTATCAAATTCGTAAATACAAAAAGAAAGTCCGTTATCGATTAATTGCAGAACCGTTTTTTGCAACCGTAAGATTACGGAATCTTAATTAAATTTAACTTTTACCCAATATGAATTTAAATCTCCACAATGAGGAAATGTGTAGAGCAATGAGTGCAACGATCGGTAAATAAATAAACCAAACCAGTGAAGAAGCTCCAAAATGTAGGAAAAAATTTAATTTTTGAGTATTATGCTCGTACGTCATTGTGTTTTTCAATTCGAATAAAAACCAAAACATTATGGATGTTCTTAATGTTAATATAAGCCAACCAGGCCATGTTTGATACTCGTCAATGTCTTCTATGATATCTACCTCAGTCTGAAATCCCCCAGAAAAATTTACATTAAGAGAGGAAAATTTATCGTAAAAATTTCAATTTTAATCCATTTACCATATTCCACACATATAGTAATATGTGTACTACACCATAAATGAACCAAATTGAAAAAACTAATGGCTTCCAAGTTAATTCTAATCTTGTGACAGCCCATCCTTTGGCAAGTAATAAAAGAAGGAGCATGAATGTGGTCTGAAAAGCATGGAAAATTTTTTATTTCACCTTGTTGATTTAAAAAATAAATGTTGATGGCTAAAAATAAAATATTTACCCTTGAAAGAATATCTAATATGTCACCTACAACTGCTAGACTGCTTAGACCTACACCATCTAATGCAAATTTTAATACATGAATTAATATAAAACAAAATGCAAAAAATTCTAAGAGTAAACTTGCTGTAAAAAGTCTTGTAACTGGATGGCTTTGCCTTGTCGATGCATAAAGCTGCAATGGTACCAAAATTGAATACCATAAAAAGAATCCTAAATACATTTCTAGAGTGCTCTGGAAAGAAAAAGAAACAAAAGTTTTAAAATTTTTGTTATAAATTATGTAAGAGATAATTAAGATAATTTAAATTTTTATAATTCGATACAAACCTGTCTGTCGAAAGAAAATTGATATACAACAGGATTATAGGAACTAACATTCGGGTTTCCGTTTACAAGCCAGATGTCATAATCTAGACTAATATTTTCCTTCATATGATGCCACTTACAAGTTTTTACATCTCTGTAACAAGCTACTAGACTAATGTACCAAAATCTAAAACAGAATTTTTTTTATCATCAACTTTATATTATTATTTTGAAAATTTTAGCAAGGTATATAATACCTCGGCTGTCTTAAATCCTGAACAGCATATGTGAATTGGTAACCTTTTACAACGTTCCATGGCACATCTTCATCCACGCAAAGCTGCCCTTTTGGACAGGGAACTTTTCTTAAAAAATCTTCTCCCTTATTATAACATTTAGAGTCATAAGCAGTTGTGCTTATTTTATTAAACATTCGTTCACAGGCTACATCTTTATCTTCCAAAGAACGATTTCCATAGTATTCGAGAAAATAACCTCTATCTAACACGGATAAAGTAATTGTTTGGTCATTATTAGATTTTGACGTTATATTTCCAAATATATAACCTAAAGATTCTTTTTGATTGTGCCTGATTGTCTTTTGAAATCCGAATTTCACTAAAAATTTAAAAAAATCACTACTGTTCCATGATCCCGAAATGTGACTGCCATCCGTGAACGGCTTATGAAAAAATATCACAAAAAAAAATATTACACTTAATAAAAAAGTCCTTTTAAAAATACATTTATGAATTACATTAAAATTAACAGAAGACATTTTTGAAAGGTGACAGTGTTACCAACTCCACATCACGTTGTGTTTTAAATTAGGCGCCAACGTTACATACGTCACCGCCATTTTGAAAATAACCGACGACATATTTAAAAATAAAATTTCGTTTTAAGAATTCTATATTAATAAAACCTATTTCGATTTATTTTCGTGAGACATTTTTAATTTTATGTTAAAACTAAAAAAACTAATTCTATGTTAAACGTAATATTATTTCATATCTTATGTTAAAAAAACTTAAATTTTTAACGACTTTCAAAAAAAAAAAAATGGCGAACTTATGAAAAAATGGATTACATTACAATACAATACAAAAAAAATGAATGATATTATGCAATATAAAAACAATTTATTGCACAATTAAAATTACTAAAGGTAAAATAATTCAAACCTATTAAAAAAAAAAAAAAAAAAGAAATTTCTCCTATGATTTCATTAATTTGTTTAAAATCGTTCACTTTTCTTTGTCTTCTTCCATAAAAAAATATACTAAAGCAAAAAAAAAAAAAATATGAAAAAAAAGTATATACAAATACAAAATATACATAATATATATATAAAAATCTATTTTGTTTATTAAAAAATAATAAAACACTTATTTAATGTATTCCATCATATTATTATTATTTGGTCTTCAGCAATGATTATTTTTTTTTTTTTTTTAAAAAAATTTTCTAAACATAAAAATTATTTTTTAAAATATTAATTGCTTATCATTTATTCGAAAAGTATTTTTATTTTATACCTAAAAACTTTCCGACAGCAAAATATATATAAATATATATATTTATATAAACCCATTTAAAAAAAAAAAAAGTTTTAAATTTTCTTTCTTTCTTTCCCCCAATTTCACTAGCTAATAATAATAATAATAACTATCACAAAAAAAAAAAAAATTTGATTATAAAGTAAAATTTCATTTTATTTATAATTAATTATTATCATTAATTATCATCATCATTATTATTAAAATTCAAATTCATTTATTATTATTTGTTTTGTTTGTTTTCATTTTTAAAAGTCTATATAAATATAATCATCGACACGTTTTACAATCAATCAATCAATCAATCAATCAATCTTATCATCAATCATTAACTCTATAATATAAAAAACCTTTTAAAACCTTTTTTTTTTTTTAAAATTAACATTCGTCTTTTATAAAAAAAATAGTAATGATAATAATGATAAACTAGTAATATTATTATTATTTTCTTTAAAAACAAATTATTATTATTATTATTAAAAAAAAAAAAATTACAAGACGAATGAAAATAATTTTTTTTAAAAAAAAAATTTTCCCTTTTTTCCTTTTACAAGGTACGATTTGTTTCTATTTTCCTTTTTTTTTTTTTTTTTCCTTTTTTTCAATAAATAAATAAATTTATTAATTAATTAATTGACATCAAATGAAAAAACCTTTTCTCAAATTTTCTTTAAAAAAAAAAAAAAAAAAAAAAAAAATTTTTCGTAATAATAATATTAAAATACAATTTTTTTTGCAAACGTTCGAATAAAATAATAATAATAATAATAATAATAATAAACGTTTCAAATTTTTTTCCGTTTATGTATTAAAAAAAAATACATATGTATACGACGTACATAACATATATGTACATAAATGTATTTATGTATTTATTTATGTACACATATATTATATTATGTACCTTTTTTCTTTTTTTTTTTTTTTTTTAAATTTTTTTTTGTAAAAATCTTTCTCCATTTTTTTTTTTTTTTTTTTAAATTTTTTCTCATAAATAATCATCATCATCATCATTTCATTTATAATAATAATAATAATAATAATAATAAAATAAAATAAAATTATTTTATTTATATATTATAAAAAAAATCTACTACGATCGTATGAGTTTTCTCGCCATCTTGTCACAATCATTATTATCATTATCATTTCCGCATTTCGGCTAAACATATACATATATATGTTTACGATAAAATTATCATTATTATTATGAAAAAAACAATAATAATAATAATAATAAAATTAAATTAAACGCGAAATTAATAATAATAATAATAAATAAATAAATCCAAATAAAATCCTTTCCATACTCCAATGAGTCCATCATAAAAAAATAATAATAATTAAAAAGTTTATTATTATTAATTTTACACACACACCGTAATTACTCTCAGGTGTAAAATAATATTAATAATATTAATAATAATAATAATAATAATAATAATAATAAAATTAAAAATTATAATGCGAAGACAAGACACACAAAAAAAAAAAAACGAATCAGTTTATATAATTTAATTAATAAATAAAGAAAGGAATGTTGTTTTCATCATTCATATTATAAATATTCCTTCAGATCAGATCTTTATTATTATTATTATTATTATTATTATTATTATTATTATTTATTTATTTCTTCCCTATTCTCTCTTCCCCGGTTGTGTTTTTCTCTTTTGATAATAATAATAATAATAATTATTATCATTATACTATTACTATTACTATTAATTATTATTACTATTATTATTATTATTATTGTTTTTTTTTTCGTTGAGTGCTTTTGACTGTTTTTGTTGACTGTTGCGATTCTTGTTGTTTTTGTGCTTTCCGGGTAGAAAAGACAATAATTGTTTTCCTTTGTTTTCCTTTTTTTTTCCTTTTTTTTCCTTTTTTCTTTCCTTTTTTCCTTTTATATAAAATTAATGTTTATCACCAATGACAATTGTGAAACAACATGTAAGTAAGTATTAATACTATCACGTTATTAAAATACATAATCCGGTCCCGCCATGTCTATCGCCCAACGAAATTTATCCCTTTGCGTTTTATTATAGATTTTTTCAATAGGAACGTTGTATTTTTTACACCTTAAACAAACAGAGAGAGAGAGAGAGAGATACAATTAAATAATAAAAGAAAAAGATAACATATATATATATTTTCTTCCTTCCATTCTTCCTTCCTTACCATGCAACGGAAATTCTAGGATCGAGATAATTAAGTTTAGATGTTCCAAGTGCTATCGTTTTATTCTCTTCTTTATCCGTTTCCTGAACTTCGAGTTTGAGTAATTGTTCTTTTAAACGATCTAATTGTTTCTTCTTTTTCGCTTCCGTCCTTTAAAAAAACAAAATAATAATAATAATATTTTTCCCATCACCGATTGGATGACTTTTCCGGGAACGATAAATAAAAATTTAAAATAAAAATTACCCGGAGTCGCCATTACGCTTGGCGTTTTTAACTTCTTTTTTAATTTCATTTATTTGCTCCCTTTTCGCTTCTATTTTCGCTTTTAAATTTTCCATTGATTTCTCGTGACTCTTCGGCACGGACCTTTGATGGTTACACAAAATAGCCACGGCTCTATTTGCTCTGTTGTAAGCAAGAAGCTTGAAAAACAAAAAAAAAAAATTTACGATATTTAATAAATAATCCTCCATTTTCACTTTTTTTTTTTCAGAAAAAAACAAAAACCTTTTCTGCCACCGTGTCGTCGGGATTTGTTAATTCTTTTAATTGCTCTTGCAACGTCCATGACGCATTGTATGTACGAAAGACTTTGGCGGTTAAACCTTCCATCAATTCATTGAGATGTTTATTTAGAACGGTAGTCTAGAATCAAAATAATAATAAGATACCAAGGCTGTGGAAAAACTAGAGAGAGAGAGAGAGAGAAAAAAAAAGAAAATTCGCTCACGTTTAGCCGATCGAATAAATCGTCTTGCGGTTGTTTGTTTTCCTTGAATAATAATAAATTTTTGAAAACACGCTTTTCCACAGGCACTTCATTATAATACCTTATTGAATCCTTACCGAGAAAATCAAATACTACAACGTTTTCTTTACCTGAATCGCAAAACAAATTAGTATTATTATTATTATCATCATTCATTACCGTTTATTATGGATGCATATATATTATCCCATTACCGTTTAATTCTGGATAAAGTTCGACGTGTTCCACTCTGAGAGAGCAACACCCGACGGTGTCGGCTTGATCTTCGTCTTTTTCATTTCCAGCTCTTAACGCTAACTTATCGATAAAATAAAGGGCCACGGCTCTTTGCCTGATTTTCATTTCTTTACTTTTCCAATCCGCCTGATATTGTTCGCGGATTTTATCAATTTTCTTTGCCAACTTTCTCGCCGTTTCGTACTTGACCATGTCCTTTTCACCCTTTAGCTTCGACGATGGATTCAACATGACGTATTTCACGTTTCCTTGTACGTTTTCAGTCCAACTGGCTAACCAAGTCACCTTAAAAAAAAAGTCAGCAGGTAGGAGTTTGTATACCAGCGTGCGCGTAATTAACAATAAATACTTAAATAAATATGGCCAACTACTCACGGATGGATCGTGTTGTACTTTTTTCCACTTGTGCCCGTCCGGCGGTTTGGGTATTTTGGAATCTTTCGAACAATTTATAATGACGTCCTCGGGTAAAACTCTTTTTTTCAACATTCCCATTTTGGGGTGTTCACCTCTACCGCGAAACAATCCGGGTGGTTCGATTCTAAAATTACCGATTTTTTCTTTGTGACCATCGATGGTGCAAAAACCGTATTCTTTTTGAATGGCGTCATTTTGATCTTTTATAACCTTGAAAATGATAATAATAATAATAATAATAATTACTTTTCAATCATTAGATAAAGCTAAATTTAAATAAAAAAAAATTAATTTCTCATATTTATCACCTTCTTTTCTTCCTTGCTCATCGCTTTACGCTCCTCTGATTTTTCTTGAAAATACAGAGCCATGGGTTTGAAATTGCATTTACTCAAATCCGTGATCACTTTTCTTTCCTTGTCAGTCATAACTTTTCTCCAGTCGTTAAAAAAATTCGTGTTGAATTTTTCCTTCGTCGTGTAATCGTGAGTTAACATTTTTGCATAAAAAGTCGCGACTTCTTCGGCTTCCTCCGATAAACTAATTTCTTTACCTGATACAAAAAAAAAATTTTAATTTAAAATATATATATATATATACAAGACAAATCACAAATGTAATAATAATAATAATAATAATAATAATAATGATAAAAATTACCGTCATAAAAAAATTTAACACTTTTTGGCAAACGCTCGTAAAGAGGTGCAAAAAGTGGTCCCTTGTGTTCTAAAAATTTCCATTTTTTACCATCTTCCCTTTTTTCTTCTTCCCACCTAAATGAACAGAAACGACAAAAAAAAAATAAATAAATTTATTTATTTAAAATTTTTTTCTTTGTTTCGTGCCGAAAATTCCGAAAAGTTCATTCGTCGTTTACCATTTCCAAACATCTTGTTGCTCTTCTTCTTTTTTAACCTTTTTCGGACTCGTCGTCGTTTCTTTTTTCACTTCTTTCTTAATAACCGTTTTCGATGGTTTTTTAGCAGCCTGAAAATTTTTCAAATACATAAAATTTATTAATTATTGTTTTCGCGGAATATTTCCCCCCCCCCGTCCCCCCAAAAAAATAATAATCGACGATACTCACAGGTTTAAAATCATCTTCGCTATCGCTATCACCTTTACTTTTCCTCTTTTTTCCTTTTGTTTTCTGCAATTATACAAATTATATTAAATGTAATCGTTATGTACCTATATAAATACCGCCAAAATAATTTAAATCCTTTCATCATCATCATCATCACCTTGCCAGGTTTAAAATCGTCATCGCTATCCTCTTGTTTTATTTTCTTTTTCAACCTGGCAAACAATGGCGTTTCATCATCATCATCATCATCATCGTTATCTCCTTCGATTTCCCTTTTAGGTACTCTCATACTCTAAAAAAAAAATTCGAGTATTAGACTATTATAAACAATTAGTTTACAATTTATATATAAAAATAGAAAGAAACGACCTTCTTTCTCTCTCTCAGTCCCCCCCCCCGCCCCCCGTCGAAAATGATCAAATGAAAAAAACGTGTCCATGACTCACCAAAGGTACATCGCTTTCGACTCCTTCCTCCTCTTCCTCCTTTTCCTCTTTTATTTTAACTTCTTGTTGATTTTCATCCCTATCTTCGTCTATTCGTAATGATTCTTCTTCGGGAGCAGAATCTCCCGTGTTGTCGGCGGAATCTCCCGTGTACGTTTTAAATTCAGGCATGTTTTCATCTTTGATTTCCTTCAACTCTTGATCCGAATTTTTATCCGAACTCACTTTTTCCTTTTCCTTTTCTTTTTCTCTTTCTCTTTTCGAGTCTCGTGAGTCTCCTCTGTCTTTACTCCTCTCCTGAAATTTTTTTATTCAATCAGGATACAAAACACGTATAAAACTGTGCTATTATAACTAATTAAAAATTAAATAAATTTCTTTTTTAAATAAAAAAAAAAAAAAAACAATGAGTGTATTTTAAAATGTGTATAAAAAATGTAAAATAATTAGATTCATTAATAAATGAAATGTGAAAAAAAAAAAAAAAAAATGATGGGTAAGCACAATATTAAAAAAAATTTTGCTAATATAAACAATTCAATCTCCCCCCCCTCGTTCTCTTTCTCCCCTCTCTCTCTCTTTCTTTCTCTTTCTCTTTACAATTCAATGCCTGAATTTCTAATGAAATTTCTATAAAACACAATTCAGTACTCTTTCTAGTCATGATAATAATAATAATAATAAATGAAAAAAACCAAAGTATCCTTATCATGTATCAGTCAGAATATCATCAACTATAATATATACATACAAAAATAAATAATATTTAAACTATTGATCTTTTTTTTTTTTGGATAAAATGAGAGAGAGAGAGAGAGAAAACATTCTATAAAACATTCTATAATTTTTGTACTACTACTATTATTATTATTATTATTATTTATGATTAATGAGAAAACTACTATATACTACAATAATATTGCATTCTATATATTTTTTTACTACTGCTACTACTTCTACTAGTACTATTATTATTATTATTATTATTATTAGTTATGGTTAACGAGAAATGCCATCAAATTTTCTACATTTAAATTTTTTTTTTTTTTTACCTTAGTCTTATCCCTATGGTGATCCGAATGTGAAGATTTTATTTTGTCTTTGACTTTGGAATCCTTGCTTTTGTCATGCGATTCCTTTTCTTTATCTTTATGCTTATCTTTATCTTTTGAACTAGATGAATTGTACCTTTCCTTAGATGACGATGATGATGTTGTTGATGATGATATATGATGCTTATCCTTTTCCTTCGATTGAGAGCTATGCCTGTCTTTCTTACTAGATGATGATGATGATGACGAAGATGTGCCATGTTTATCTTTGTCTCTATGACTCGAACCATGCCTATCCTTGTCTTTATCTTTGCTACTACTGCTGCTGCTGCTTGAACTATGATGTTTATCCTTACTGGAACTTTTACTGTCTTTATTCGAAGGAGAACTCCTGCGTTCTTTATCCTTCTCGTGAGATTTCTTATCGTCTACTAATTTTTTTTCTTTTTCTGAATCCCTTTCTTTATCTTTGTGACTACTTTTACTGGAACTGTGCTTATGCTTATACTTGTCTGAACGATGTTTTTCCTTTTCCCTATCCCTATGTTTATGTTCTGATTTATGATCCTTGTTGTACCCATTTGAAATCCCATTAACTAATGTAGTATTTTCTAAAACATATAAAGATGTTTTATTTAAAAAAAAATTATTATTATTATTATTATTATTCATCATGTGCACATATTTATAAAACTAAACCTTTTCGAAACGATGCAATTTCTTAAAAAAATTATTTTAACCAATTTTTGTCGAATGCTAAATAAAAAATTAATTCTTCGTTTAAAAAAAATTTAAGTTTCAGTATTTTAAAATAATAATAATAATAATAATAATAATAATGAACAAAGATACATTAACTTAAATGCATGTAAAAAAAAGAATTTATCATAACAATCTATGAGTTACACGCATAAATAAATTATTATTTATCATTCGAGTAAGTGTTTGTTAAGCATTAAAGATTTGAGAAAGACAAAATGGATTTTGTTAACTCGAAAAAATGTTACCATATTTTTTCTTTTTTTTTTTTTTTATTGTATTCAATTCAAATTGAGTTAAAAAATACTTAATGCTTAAAGTATAATATTTGAAATTTTATCTTTGATGAAAAAAACAAATAACATGTTAAAGATTTCATTCCGAGTTGGATTGGCCGATTTGTAAATGAATTAATATTTAATAAATAATAATAATAATAATAATAATATAAATATAAATTTTACAAATCAATACAATTTAAAAAATGTTCTCATTATATATAAATTTACACATGGGGGGGGAGGGAAAAGGAAAAAAGATATAATTGAAAGAATATTATGAGAAAATACGAATTCAACCCATAGCCCGGGGGGATAGAATATCAACAAATAGCCGATGATTTAAAAATCTATTCAAAAACTGATAGAAAAATAAAAAAAAAAAAAGAGAAAAAATATTGTCAAATAATGAATAAAAAAAAAAAAAAAAATTTAATTAGGGCAAGTTTTTTTTTTTTTTTTTTTTTTTACCACTGCCAGAAATTTTACTAAAAAACGTATCATTAAATAAAAAGGGGGAAAAAAAAAAAATTATTATTAAACAATAAAAATGAGGTCTCTGAACTTATAGAATATATATATATTTATAATAATTACTTACCCTTTTCTCGTAAATTTCCGCTTTCAATAACTGTTTTTTCCTAAAAATAAAATTAATAATGTATATAAATCTTAACAAAAATGAATGTTATAAATTTTCATTAATATATATATAAATTAACAAACAATAATAATAATAATAATAAAAAATGTAAACGTACAAAGTTTACAGAAATAAATAAAAATA